TCTATCACTGAGTAAACTGACTATGTGACTTGTATTACTGTTATAGATACTTCTTATTATTATATTTAACTGATAAACTGCACAATGAACCCAGTGTTTGTGTAAAACAAACGATTATTTCCTGTATTATGGATTTTCTTCTTTGTTAACAATCATACATAGTTAATAAGCTTCTTTTTTGACAGATTCAGTGTTTTCTTCTCATTGTTCTATCAGCTCTTTGGTGTTGTTTATCAGAGACTGAAGCTTTGGCGACCCCTAGTGGGGGTCCTAACCACTGACCTAAACCATAGATCTAAGAAAAACTCCTTCATCCCAAGTGCCATTAATATTCTTATCTCTACAACGTGACTAAGGAGATTTAAGCCTCAGACAATGACATGAACTGTTTCTAAATGTGTAATGTGACTTCCTCTCAGTTTTTTATCATTTTGTATCTGCACTGTTGGAATTCGACGTGCATACATTGGTATTTTTAAAAGCACAAATTAAAACAGAAACAGAAAACAATTCCATCATTATGAACACATTTCTTTTTTACACCTTTAGTTAAACTTGAAAACCACTGAGGTTTAAAATGACCAAAAATATACTAGACAAGATAAAACAATTCAGGGAAAACAAGTGGAAAGAGGTGCTGAATAAAGAAAGAAAGTCATGAAAAATTGTAACGATAGAATAAAGTGTATGACAAAAGGTTGAACCTCTGGGGACTGCAGGTAGTTGGTTGGATGAGGCTTATGAAAATGTGCTATAGTGCATAGCTGAATTAATTATTAAAAACATCATTTTAATTTACCCTGGTGGTTGTTTTCTTGAGTGTAGTGTGCTCCCTGTAGCCCCTAAAATAAACAGTTTGTCACAAGAAAAAGATACAGTTTTGACTGAAACCGTGGTTACTGTGGTTTATAGGGCAGCATAGTGAGTTTGAAAAGTGTTTCAGTCCCTCAAACTTCGACTCTTTGATTTGGGACTTTATAAGGAACAATCAATGAAGCAGCCAATTCAGTTAATTAGAAAGAGGAAGAAAGACTAAAATATGGAGCTCAAATCATCAAATTAAGAGCAGTAAAACTAAATGGACTTTGTCTTCAGCCTCGCCTTAATCACATGACAAACAGCAGCCACGGAGACCCGTAAAGTGTCCTGTTTCTGTAACTCAGGGTAGTTTAACCGGACGTAACTGCGCACATAAAGATCTGCTGTTTACATTTTTCTTCACATAAAGTTTGACGCTGCAGTTATTTTTTTATGAGACAATAGGTTTGAGGTTTGTGCCAAACAAACAGAGCACTGAATAACAGAATAAATGAATCATTTAATCATACAAAACAACTAGTTCACCTCCCTAAGATTACATAGATACTAATAAATACATTAACAGATACACATTTTAATAAAGCTACACATATAATGTTAAAACTCTTTTATTAACTGAGATAGGAACAGTACTTAATGCAAGATATTAATAATTCCTACAATGATAAAACTTTACTTTTTATTTTAAAGTTAATTTGTGCAAACAGCAGGAACCTATAAATGAAGTGTATTGGACAGGGAGCCCGATTCATACGTACAGATTGTTTTATTGGTTGTGTGATTGATGTGTTTTCTTCTTCCAGCTCAATCAAACCTTTCAGAACTGGACCCATGCAGTCTACGTAGACTCTATCAGGTAATTCATCAAAGCAACTCCTGAAACAAACGAGAGCAGGACGGAGCTTTACACTTTATCTTTAAAACAATGACAGACTGCCGATAAGTTCAGTTTCATTCAGTTCTTTCTGATGATCATCAGCAGTTTAAAACACTCAGGGGCCTGAAATCGACCGGTACTCACCAGAACCGAGTACTGGACTGATTTTTGTCTACATGAGTACCCTTACTTCTTGAGCGTGGCCATACCCACCACTGTGCTCACCAAGGTCTGGAACACTTTTTAAAAATCCCCAAAAGATTAAATAATATTCATGGCAGTTTTTTAAAAGCTAGAAATCTGAAAATGTATTTTGGTGTTTTTGTTACTAGGGATCAGTGAGTTCACCATTACTCATTTGATTTGAGTAGAATACTCAAATACCCAAGTACTTATTGTTAAGGTAACTTGGGTAAATTAAGTTAATTGTACAAATTCCATTTAGTTAATTGAAGTTACACTAATATGCAGCATTTCTCCAAACTTATTTAAAATATATGAACAGAATTTATCTGAATAAGGTCACTTAAATGCATTTTCTTTGTACAAATTAGCTCTCAAGTGGAATTTACTCAGTTTTCTTCCACGTACGTCCTACTGACATAAGATAAGAAAATATTTTTAATTAATTGATTATCAAAATGGTAGTAATTTTCTGTGTTTCATCAATTGTCATCAATAATTATTTGGCTTATGATGATTAATAAACTAAAAAAAAAAAAAAAATTGTAAAATCCTAAGCTATACAGCATTATAATGTTTACATTTTTATAATCATATAAGGTCAACTTCAAGAAGATGAGTAAATGCAACAAACTACAATTATATCGTCTGTACTTAAAATTCTGCACAAATTTAAGTTCATTTAAAAAACTGAGATGCTTCAACAATTAATTTTTGAGTTGGCTTTAATTGATGTGAATGTGTGACTCCAGTCTGTTTTTTATACAGTTAATTTTATTGAGGACGTGTTTTAGGTTTTACTGCTGTTTTCTCACCTCTTACCCATTGTTTCTCTCCAGTGTTCAGCCTGGTTTGCAGAGCGGGGGTAACCCGTCGAGGTAAAACATTTAACCCATTTTTTATATTTAATCAGTAAGTGTATCAGCTGAAAACACGTGTTTTTAAACTCTTCGGACGCGTTTTTGAGCCTGATTCTGGTTATGGTCTCTTATGATCCTTTCATATCTTTGAGTCTGCAACTTTACTTCAAGTTTGTTTTGTTTTCGGGTCCAGTTTCACCTGCCAGGCCCTTCTGGTTTATTATTACATCACCAATCAGAGTCTTGGCGAAACGGCTGTGTTATCCCGGCTGTCCAGCAGCGAGGGACTCCTGGGTGCCGGCCTGCAGATCCAACCCGCCTCCACTGTTGTCAGATTGATTGGTGAGGAACTGCACAAAAAAAAAATGTCTCCCTTTTCTCTCCCATTTTTCTCCCTCTGAAGTAATCTGCTTAATCCCAGCCTCCACACTCAGAGATAACACACAGCTGACACTGATGCATCATTGTAAGATCTCTAAGATCTAAAAAACAAGGTCCTAATATGCACTGTAAAACCAGATAAGTTCATTTAACAAAGAAATTGTTGAAACTGATTCCGCTGAATTTTATTTTTTTTTAAGTTCAATTAACTTATCTGGTTTTACAGTGTGAATTAACAAACATAAAAACAAAAAAAAACAAAAAAAGCAACTAGCTTGCTTTGTCATGCTGATATTAGCATTTAGCATTTAGCTAAACTAAAGCTCCCTTTAGAATAACTGTGTGCGACAACAACATAGTTTTACTTTTATACTCCACTACAGCTGCCTCTTCATTTTCATATAAAAATTGTTTTATTGGGAGAAATGCAGTGACTTTTGTTTACTATGGCCGGATCCAAACATCCATCTATATTGCCAGCATCTCTTCAATCTCTTTTTGGGGAAAATGCTCATTGATAGACTTAACCTTAAGAATATAGAAATATCCAGTCTTCTCACTGATGGTCTCATTTGTTTGTTGGTAATAGAGAGTGTAACCAGTTAAAAGCTCTGTGTAGTAGATTTAATATAATATATAATAAATATTTATGTCCAAATTATTCATTATTTAGTTTTTTCAGGACTCTCATGGCCTGAATACAAGGGCTAGTGACCCTAACCTGAAACAATGGATTAAAATCCCAAACAGTAGTTTTCTGTGCTTTACTTTTTCTGACAAAACCTTTCCTTCCTGCATTTTTACCCACATTTCTGGACTTTCTGCTCCTTTCATTTTAAGAACAGGCTTGTTACTTCAGTTTTAATGCATTTGAGGAGATTACCAAAACTAAAAAATTACCAAACCAAGAGAGTATTTTTTTACGTACCAACAGTATCTTTTACACTTGAGTAGAAGATACTAAAATATACTACTCTACACTACTTGTGTAATGAATAGGTGAACTTTGACGAATTGAAATCTGTGAAACATATTTTTCAGTACGGGCGTCTGAACTTTTGTTTTCATTAGGTGTATTAGTGTAAGAATGGGATAATAGTAGCAGATGTGTGTCACTCCCTTTTCCTGCCTCCTATCTAGACTCCACAATGGAAATAAGCCATGTGCCTTTATTGCAATATCGTGATTCATTTTAGTCCTGCATGCACATCTGTGTATTGTATTTAAATTCAATCAATATAGTGGTTTTGTTTTCCCATGATAGACTTTTCTTCAGCCTTTCTGAACACAAACAGTTTCTTTCTCTGTTTTTCTTATTTGATTCATTCTCTTATTTATTATTCATGGCTTTTGTTGATTATGTCCCGTCTCTCCTTCGTCTGGAGTTTTGTTATCTGTACATTTCTTTTGTCCAACCTCTCTCTCTCAGCCCGGTATTTTATTTGGCTCTCGCGTTCAGCTCGTATTTCATTTATCTTTTCCATCGTGTTATCATTTAAATGTGAAACTTACTCCTGTTTTCCCTCCTGATAGAAAACTGCCCGGAGGAGAATCCGCTCCACTACCGCTGGCCCGAGAGCCGACCCACCGTCACTCAGTACCTGCCCTGCTTCCCCAACAAGGACCAGAGCACCTCCAGGACCTGGTAACACACACACACACACA